ATAATATTTTTTATTTCAGACAATGTATTCTTTATTTTTTGTTGATCCCTTATTATTTCTTGTTAATCCCTTATTATTTCTTGTTGACCCCTTATTATTTCTAGTTGATCCCTTTTCATATCCTCATAGGTCTCCTTTATTTTATCAGCCTTTTCTAGGAGATTCTTGAACAACCTTATAAGTGTGGTTTTGAACTCTATATCCAGTTGCTTTTTGTCCTCCATTTCTTTCATCTGTGATCTATTTCCTTGTCTCGGCATTTTCGCAGCTTCCCTGATGGGGCGGAGTTTCAGGGTGGAGCCTACAACCTTGGCTTCCATCAGCCACGTCAGCCACACCCTATGCGGCTCCTGAGTCTCAGTGTTCCTTAGTGTTCTTCGGTACTCGCTGCAAGCACCTCTGAGAGTGAGGTCCCCTTGAGTTTCGCCTGCTACCAAACAGTCTAGTCTCTCCCCCAATGAGCCCGGAATTGGGGTTCAGTTCAGTTGGAAGTGGGGTTCAGAGCAGTCTGTGGCTTTTGTCTCCTTCCCACCAGGGCAATCCCACGGCAGAGCCAACCGTCCCTTCTCTGCGCAAAATGTGCACGCCTCCAGGGTCTCTGCCTTTTGCCGCTCCCCTGGGGTTCCGCCTTAAACCCCAGCTCCCTCTGTATGAGCCTGGGTCCCTGGGGTCTGGCCTAGAACTAGGGTTCAGAGCAGTCGGAACTGAGGCTCAGCACAGTCCGGAGCTTTTGTCTCCTTCCCGCTAGGGCAATCTAGCAGCAGAGTCAATAGTCCATCCTCTGTGCACAATGTGCACGCCTCAGGGGTCTCTGCCTTTCGCCGTTCCCCTGGGATTCCGCCTGATAGCCCAGGCTCCCTCTGTTTGAGCCTGGGTCCCCAAGGTCTGGCCTAGAACTGGAGTGCAGCGCTGTCGGGTCTGGGTTTCAGTACAGTCTGGAGCTTTTATCTCCTTCCCGCTTGGGAATGCCAGCCAGGCATTCAGCCGCCCCCTCCTCGCCGGCTCTGATCTCTCTGCGTGCGTGCAGGGTGTCTCAGTATCTTAGGCTTTTACAGCTCCTCCGCTTTTCCTTCTGGTTTTCTCCTTGCTTCTCGTTGTAGAATTTCCAGTCAGTCGACTTTCCTGTAGTTCTGGGTAATGTCCATTTTATATTTTAGTTGTATTTTATTGAATTTGTTGTGTGTGGCTGCGGTTAAGTGTTTACCTGTGCAGCCATCTTGGATTCTCTTACAAGCAGCTTATATAACATAATAAAAGGAAGGTAAATGACCCAATTAAAAAATGGACAATGGATCTAAATAGAATATTTTCAAAAGAAGACAGAAGGAAGGCCAAGAGACACATGAAAACCTGCTCAGAGTCACTAATTATCCAAGAGATGCAAATCAAAACAACAATGCGGTACCATTTCACACCTAGTCAGATTTGGCTATCATCAACAAATCAGCAAACGACAAGTACTGACGATGATGTGTAGAAAAAGGAACCCTTGTGCACTGCTGGTGGGAATGCAGACTGGTGCAACCACTGTAGAACAGTATGGAGTTTCCTCAAAAAACTGAAAATGGAACTCCCATTTGACCTAGGAATCCCACTTCTAGGAATATATCATAAGAAACTAGAAACACCAATCAAAAGGAAATATGCACCCCCATGTTCATAGCAGCACAATTTATAATAGCTAGGATTTGGAAACAGCTTAGGTGCCTGTCAGCAGATGATTGGATCAAAAAACTATGGTACATCTACACAACAGAATACTATGCTGCCATTAAAAAGAAGGAATTCTTTTCTTTTCTTTTCTTTTAAATATATTTTATTGAGTTTTTACAGAGAGGAAAGGAAAGGAGAGGGATAGAAAGCTAGAAACATCGATGAGAAAGAAACATCAACCAGCTACCTCTTGCACACTCCCTACTGGAAATATGCCCACAACCAATGTACATGCCCTTGACCGGAGTCGAACCTGGGACCTTTCAGTCTGCAAACCGATGCTCTATCCACTGAGCAAACTGGTTTTGGCAGAAGGAATTCTTTTCATTTGCAGCGACCTGGATGAAATTGGAGAACATTATGCTGAGTGAAATAAGCCAGTCAATGAAAGAAAAACACCACATGTTCTCACTCATTTATGGATAATAAAGAACATTATAAACTGATGAACAAAAGGATAGATACAGAGACAATAAAAGAAACAGACTGTCAAATTATAGCGGGGAAGGTAGGGAGATCTGGGGGAGATAAGAGATCAACAAAAGGACTTGTATGCATGCATATATTGATAAGTATAACCAATGGATGCAAAACTCTGGGGAGGGAGGGCATGTATGACTGGGGGTGGGGTGGGGATTGGTAAGGTATGTATACATATAATAGCTTAAAAAAATGAGAGGGGGAGAAAAAAAAGAAACTTCTCAAGCTGATTCAAAAATTTTTCTAAAATTCAGGAATGGCCAAGAAGTATTTTAAAAATAAATTCAATGAGAGAAAATCTATATTAGATTTTGAGACATAAAACTATGACCTATGATTTAAAATAGACTTATTATTGCTATACCACATGTGTCAAACACAAGGCCCGCGGGCCAAATCCGTCCCTCCAGGCCTTGCAATGTGGCCCACACCGCGCTGTCATCACTGCACTCCGCTGCGTTTCCATCACAATGACAGTTTATGACTGTTCAGTAAACCATTCGGCCCGCGATTTAGGCTGGATTTTAGATTTTGGCCCCTTCTCTGATTGAGTTCGACACCCCTATGCTATACTATTGACTATATTCCTTGTGCTGTATTATATCAGTGTGATTTATCTATATATATATAAAGACCCAGAGTCCACAATGACCGAAGGCTTGACCAACCAAAGTCAGTGCTGGGTTGCAGTGGTGACCCAGCACTGATTGCCACTGCTGTGGGCGCCCAGACCAGCATTGACTGCCAAGGGGGCTGTGAATCAGGCCCAGAGAGAGGTCTGAAGAGAGAAGGGTCTGATCCATAGCCTTGGTTAATCTGCACTTGCCTCTCTCTTTCGCTCTGGGCCTGGCCAGCAGCCATGCCTCTCTTTCTCTTGGGTCTCTGCTGGGCTGCTGATCAGCTCTGTCTCTCTGATCAGGCCTATTGATATTGATAGGCCTGGAGACACTGACTGGCATAGGAACTGACCAATCAGAACCAAATCTGGGTGAAGTATAAGGAGCCAATGGCTTCCTAGAAGGCAGAGCTTTTGATGCTGACTGGCATAGAAACTTACCAATCAGAACCTAATCTGGGTGAACTGTGAAGGCAGAATCTTAGGCTGGGTCTGAAGAAAGGTTTTAAGGGCAACAGTTATTTGGTGTAAGATGTAAGAAAGCGGTTCAATTTTTTAATGACTAGTTGGCAGTATAGTGCATACAGTTGGCTATCAATGCAGATATGGGGATTATGTATTTTAGTCTGCTAAGAGCATCTCCTCCTGATGAAAAAGGTTTTTCCCCACCCCATTTAAGCAATCTCATCCTATGTAATTTATCTATACTAATAAAAGGGTAATATGCTAATTAGACCAGGTCGACTGGCCATCTTCCGGATGTCCAACTTCCTTCCATACAAAGCCATGGTGGTGGGGGCCAAAACAGAGGCTATCAGGGATGATCAGATTAGCAGGGGATGGCAGTTGGGGGTAAGATCAGGCCTACAAAGTATGGCAGTTAGGGGCGATCAGGCAGGCAGGGGCAGTTAGGAGTGATCAGGCAGGCAGGCAGAGAGGTTAGAGGCGATCAATCAGGCAGGCCAAGGGATTAGGGGCAATCAGGCAGGCAGGCAGGTGAGTGGTTAGGAGCCAGTAGTCCCAGATTGCAAGAGGGATGTCTGACCGCCAGATTAGGCCCAATCCCACAGAGGGATCGGGCCTAAACCAGCAGTTGGAAATCCCCCAAGGGATTCCCGATTCGAGAGGATGCAGGCCGGGCTGAGGGACCCTCCCCACCCCAGTGCACGAATTTCATGCACTGGGCCACTAGTTTATAATTGAAAGTTTGTAGCTCTTATTGTGTTTCACCATTTTCATTTATTCCCCATACCACTCCCTTCTGACAACCATCAGTATATACTCTGTATCTATAGGTCTATTTTTGTTTTGTTTTTTAGATTACACATATAAGTGAAAGAATATAGTATTTGTCCTCTATCTATTTCACTTAGCACAGTGCTCTCCACATCCATCCATGTTGTTGCAAATGGTTAAGATTTTGTTCTTTTTTAAAGCTGAAAAATATTTCATAAATAATGTTATATACTCCTCCCCCCCATCAGATTAAAAATAATAGAACTAGTGGTAATATCAGTGTATTGATGGGTTGAGGTATGGGAACTCTGTTATAACTGGTGGTAGTAAATAGTGTAAATATATAAAACTTTTTGACTAGAGAATTTGGCAGTCCCCATCAAAATAGAAATGTACCATTTTAAAATTCAACAATTGTATTTCTAAGAATATACTCCTATAGAAGTATTTGTACACTTGCAAAAAGATATATGAAAAGAACTGTTCATGGCAGCACTGTTTATAATAATAAAAAATTGGAAATGATCTAAATGTCTACAAATAGAGGACTGATTAGAGGAAATAATTCTATTTGATATTTGGGAGTGGTGAGGAAAAAGAACTATTTCACAATTTATTCTATATGTGTATTGTTTAATCTTTTATGAGAATGTTTTCATGTCCTAACTGTATAACTAAAATTTTAATTAATAAAATAATTAAATCAATAAAAGTTATATAATCATATTATATAAAACTTGGGGAAAATGGGCCTGATGAGATAACTCAACTCCTGATTGTGTTTTAGTATATGTGCAGTTCCTTTTCTTAAATACTTTCTTTATTGATTTATATAAACATCCTCCAAGACACTTTTGGAACATCTTCCAACCTGAATGAGGTTTCCTAAATGTCCATTATAATATAAAAAATTCAGTTATTTTATCTATAAAAATGGTGTATTAAAAATATTCACCTTATCTCTGTTCCAATTCATCCCTCCAATGAAAGTCAACATTAGTGTGAATAATCCTCCAGTTCCATGTATACCCATGCTATTGCCGACTAAGACGACAGAAACACACAAACTCAAAATAAGGCATGCTCTCTTCACTGGAAGATTTGTCTAGAATTATATAAATTTTTATGAATTATTTACATTAAACATATAATACAACATTTATGTTCTCTGTCATTCATTATTGACATTTTGATACTATAATATGTTATATTAAATAATGCATAAAATTTTGGCTTTCTTCCTCACCAAATATTTTAGAAGACTTGATAACAAGTGACAAAATTTATAATTATTAAGTTTCATCTTCTGCTATATATTATGTCAGTAAAATGGTTAAAATATTTTAACTGTAAGTGAAAAGGGAAAGAAAAAAGAGAGCAATATAACCTGTAGTTCTATATAACATATCCAATGGATTCTTAAGAATAAATTTCTGAAAGTTTCATTAGCTATAACAATTGTTTCAGGGAAATCAAAACAGACATTACAGATATACAGAGTAATGGCGCATTCATTTTTTTTGGGGGGGGGGCACATTCTTTAGGGTAGAAAAGGATTGAATTTAATAGTGTTGCCTTAATCAAAGGGAGTGGGAGTAAATTTAACTTAGATCAAAGGAAAGTGTGAGTAAGAAAGATTAGAAAAAGTTGTCAGAAGTCAGTAGGCAATTTAGTGAAGAAAGGGGTGGGGTGGAATGGAGATGGTATTCTGATTTAATTATATATTTTTAAAGAGTATCCATTGCAAAGTATTATGCATTAGGAAGCTTAATTTAAAAAGCAATAGCATAGCCTTAGCTGGTTTGGCTCAGTGGGTAGAGTGTCGGCCTGCAGACTGAAAGGTCCCAGGCTTGATTCCGGCCAAGGGCACATGCCCAGATTGTGGGCTTGATTCCCAGTAGGCAGTGTGCAGGAGGCAGCTGATCAATGATTCTCTTTCATCATTGATGATTCTATCTCTCTATCCCTCTCCCTTTCTCTCTGAAATAAATATAAAAAAAAATAGCAGCAGCAGCAGCATAGTAAAAATATATGTTATCCTCATAGTAGAACAGGTTTCAAAAAATATTTTTAAAGGTATTTAGTAAGTACATAATCTTTTATAAAAGGTGTAATTTTTTTAATCAACACCTTCATTACATTTATAAATACAAGATTTACACAGTGTTCCATCAAAAAAATTTTCCCTAATCTTCCTTAATTGCCAAGTCCAGAAGCAAAGATTTTAGTCAAGGCCATTGACTCCTATCAATCAAAACTGTGCTTAGTTTAAAGCAAAGTAGGCAATGGAGGCTACATTTGGGGAAGGACAATAAATATTAAATGTAATATTTCATTGATATTCTAAAAGTTCAAATTTTGAAAATAATAACAAATTCTATACTTCTAAAGTTTGACTAATTTTTTATTTACCTGATCTGCACTTGGAAAATATTGAAGAAAAATTCCCATAAATGTTCCTAGTAGCACACCAATAACTACATTCCGAAAAGAAATTAGGACATCTTGAAGTACGCCACCTATAAGGGCACACATAAGGAAAAACAGATCATAGAGAAAAAATTTTAAATACCTAACACATCAGAAAATCAAACGTAGGTGATTTATGAAGAAAGGTATGTATTTTATAGAATATATAAAAATGAATCTTTAATATTAATATAAAAATGTATGCAGATCTATTTGATACATTAGATATGTACTCTTAAATAATTTAGTACAAACACTCAATTCAGAAATGTTTATTGAATAAGTAGGCCAGGAAACAAAGAAGTAATATGCAATGTGCTTCCCTTACACACCCTGACTACAAGATCAAGTGAGGTAGAAGAATGGACAAGACTGACAAAGAAGCGCCTCTGGCACCTAGCACAAGGCTGGTAATATTTATTTTCTGACTTACGATTATTACAAAGAAAAAAATATTGAAATATAAAAAGAACAGCCTAGCTGGCAGGGCTCAGTGGTTGAACATAGACATATGAACCAGGAGGTCATGGTTCAATTCCCAGTCAGGGCACATGCCTGGGTTGGGGGCTTGATCCCCAGTGTGAGGCATGCAGGAGGCAGCCAACCAAAGATTCTCTCTCATCATTAATGTTTCTATCTCTCTCTCCCTCTCCTTTCCTCTCTGAAATAAAAAATATATTTAAAAAGATAAATATCAAAAGAACAATTTAACAATAACTACATAAAAGATTTATTCTAGAGCCAATCCTGGGACTAATCAAGGGTCAACTGAGTCATCAATATATTTTATTCAACCACATCTGTATGGAATAGTACTTAAAAGTGCAGGTCTAGGGTCAAATAGCCAGATTTGTATCTTGGCTACCCCTCTTAATGGATTAGTGACTTTGAGAAAACTTATTTAAATCCTCACCTGAGGATATTTTTTCCATTGATTTTTGTAGAGAGAAGGAGTAGTGCCGGGGGTGGGGGGGTGGGGGTGGAGAGAAACATCAATGCGAGAGGCACATTGACTGGCTGTCTCCCACATGCAATCGACCTGGGCTACGTTGAACCTGTAACTGATTTATGTGCCTTTGACTGGGAATGGAATCTGAGACCCTTTGATCGACAGTCTGATACTCTACTGAGCAAACCAGCAAATTATTTAACCTATGTTCCTCAGTTTCCTTGTCTATAAAATGAACATAGCACTATTGTGACCATTAAATGGGTGGAAACATCAATAGAACTTAAAACAAGTATGAAGCAATTACCCAATAATATTGTTATTCATTGTTTATCTTCAGTGTTTGTCATAATGGCACGCACAATGGAAAAGGAACACACACACACACACACATATATATATATATTATTGATTTTTTATAGAGAGGAAAGGAGAGGGACAGAGAGCTAGAAACACTGATGAGAGAGAATCGATTAGCTGCCTCCTGCACACCACCTACTGGGGATGTGCCTGCAACCCAGGTACATACCCTTGACCGGAATCGAACCTGGGACCTTTCAGTCCATGCTCTATCCACTGAGCCAAACCGGTATTGGATATATATATATATATATATATATATATATATATACACACACACACACACACACACACATATATATATATATATATGTATATGTATGTGTATGTATATATATATATATATATATATATATATATATATATATTCATTTTTAGAGAAAGTGGAAAGGAGAGGAAGAGAGAGACATTGATGAGAGAGCTACACATGGATGGTTGCCTCCTGCATGTCCCTACTGAGGATCAAGAACCCCTATCAAGGATCAAGCCTGAAACCTGGGTGTGTGCCCTGACCTAGGAATTGAACCAGCAACCTTTTGATGCATGAAACGATGCCCAATCATCTGAGCCACACAGGCCAGGGCCATAAATATTTTTTGAGAGAATAACTGATTCATTAATGAAGGAAATGATGACCATATTTGTTAACAGAAATTTTAGAACTTCTGAATAGCCAAAAAGAACTCTTCTAAAATTAAGTCAAATTAAAATTGGGGAAACCTAAGAATATAATACAAAGGGTTATCATTCTTAATTTTAGGAAGAATCTTGATAAATCAAAAAGAACAAAAGATGAACACATCTATAACGCAAAAGATTCCAAGAAAAGAAATATATAAAACATGCCAAAATGTCAGCGACCAATAAATATGTTTAACATCACTAGTAGAAAAAGTATTCCATTTAATGTGGTCTCACTTTTCACCTACCAAATTAGCAAAGGAAAAAGAAAAGAATAATATCTAGTTTTGAAAAGGGTGAGGAGAAAGTGGCAAACATAGGACATGATATTGCGGCAATATTTTTCAAAAGCTTATCAACTCTATATACTTTTCAGCTCAATAATTATCCTTTTTTAATTTAATAAATCTTTATTGTTCAGATTATTACAATTGTCTCCCCCCCCTCATAGTTCCCTTCCACCTGGTTCCCACCCTACCTTCTGCCCTTACCTTCCCCACTGTCATCAACTATAGGTGTATGATTTTTGTCCAATCTCTTTCTGCACCCCCTACACTCCTTTCCCCCTGAGAATTTTCAGTCCATCACATTTCTATGCCCCCGATTCTATTATATTCACCAGTTTATTTTGTTCATCAGATTTTTTACTCACTTGATTTTTAGATTCACTTGTTGATAGATATGTATTTGTTGTTCATAATTTTTTCTTTACTTTTTTCTTCTTTTTCCTCTTCTTAAAGCATTTCATATACTGGTTTGGTGTTGATGAACTCCTTTAGCTTTTTCTTATCTGTGAAGCACTTTATCTGCCTTTCAATTCTGAATGATAGCTTTGCTGGGTAATCTTGGTTGTAGTTTCTTGCTGTTCATCACTGAATATTTCTTGCCACTCCCATCTGGCCTGCATAGTTTCTGTTGAGAAATCAGCTGACAGTCATATGGTTGTTCCCTTGTAGGTAATTAACTGATTTTCTCTTGCTGCTTTTAATATTCTGTCTTTTGCTATTGGCATTTAATTATGATAATTATGATGTGTCTTGGTGTGGTCCTCTTTGGATTCCTCTTGTTTGGGGTTCTGTGTGCTTCCTGGACTTGTTAGTCTAATTCTTTCATCAGGTGGGGGAAGTTTTCAGTCATTATTTCTTCAAATAGACTTTCAGTACCTTGTTTTGACTCTTCTTCTGGCACCCCCATAATTCTGACGTTGATATGCTTGAAGTTGTCCCAGAGGCTTCTTACACTATCTTCAACTTTTTGGATTCTTTTTTATTTCTCTGTGAATATTTTTTGCTTCTTTGTAATTCAAATCTTTGACTTGATTCTTGTGATCCTCTAATCTGGTGTTGGGTCTTTCTATATTATTTTTTATTTCAGTCAGTATATGTTTAATTTCTAGTTGGTCCTTTTTCATATCAATGAGGGTCTCACTAAATTTATTGGCCTTTTCTAGGAAATTCTTGAAAAACCTATAACCATGGTTTTGAATTCTATATCCAGTCATTTGTTTTCCTCAGTTTCTTTCGTTTGTGATGTTTCTTTGTCTCCGCATTTGGCTGCTTCCCTAAATTGGTAGGATAGCTTTGTGTGCTAGGTGTTCTATATGGCCCAGTGGCTCGGCTTCCCCAGTTACCTGAGGTGGACACTCTTGGTGCACCCCTTTGTGGATTGTGTGTACAGCCTTGTTGTAGTTAAGTCTTGATTGTTGTTGCTATCACTGGGAGGAATTGACCTCTAAGCCAATTGGCCGTAAGGATCAACTGTGTCTACGCTGGGAGAACTTCTATGCTGGAAATAACCTTATGAGACAAGACTTGCAGAAGCCTCTGTGCTCAGCTTGGATGGGGCGTAGTCTCAGGGCTGAGCAGACAGTCTTGGCTTCCTGTCAGCTCTGCCCTATGAGGCCCCTAGGTCTCAGTGTCCCTCTGTAATCACTGCAAGCACCTCTGAGAGAAAGCCGCCCTCGAGTTTCACCTGCTGCCAGACAGTCCAGTTTCTCCCCCAATGAACCTGGATTCCCAGATTCTTAAGCAGAACTGGAGTTCAGCGCAGTCGGGAGCTTCCAGTTCTCTCCAGCTAGAGAAAGCCAGTGGCACATTCAGCAGTCAGTCCTTCTGTGTGCACTTGCACGCACGCCTCCAGACCTCTGCCTTTCATGGCTCCCCTGAGTTTCTGCCTGACAGTCCTGATTCCCCTCTGGCCCCCGTATGAGCCTGGGTCCCCAGGGGCTGGCCCAGAACTGGGGTTTAGTGCAGTTGGGAGCTTCCAACTCCCTCCTGCTAGGGAAAGCCAGGGCAATCTCAGCAGTCAGTCCTCTCTGGGTGCCTTGCACGTGTGTGCGCCTCCAGACCCCTGCCTTCCGCAGCTCCCTCTGCGTTTCTGTGTACCTTTCTCTCTTCCTGACAGTCCAGATTCCCCCAGTATTAGCCTGGGTCCACAGGGTCTCACCTGGAACTGGGGTTCAGTGCAGTCGAGAAATTCCTTCTCCCTCCCACCAGAGAAAGCCAGTCAGCTACTCAGCCACCCTTCCTCTGCACGCATGTCTCCATACCTCAGCCTTTTGCAGCTCCGCTGATTCTCCGTGAGTTTTCTCTTTCCTTCTAGTTGTAGAATTTCCACTCAGCCAGCTTTCCAGAGTGGTTCTGGATGTTGTGCATTTTGTCTTTTAGTTGCAGTTTTGAAATTGTTGTGTGCGGTAGCAGTTTATGTGTTTACCTATGCCACCATCTTGGTTTCTCTAGCTCCTATCAGGCTCAATGATTATTCTTTTAAGATTTAGAAAATATTAACTTTAGGTACCACTATTTAGTTATAAGATGTTCACTCAAGTATTATTTTAATAGAAACTATAGGAATAGAAACTTCAGTTTTCAACAGGAAATTATAATACAGATAATTGAGTACTATGGGACCATTACAATGTCATAGAAATCTATTTACCGAAGAGAAACCTGTGTGCAACATACAATTAAGTCCAAAACAATCCTATCCTATATAATAAAAGCCTAATATGCAAATTGTCCCCATGGGTGGTCACTTGATTGGGAGAACGGGAGTGACTACTCACTATGACTCCCAGCCCCTGCCCCCAGACAGCCCCACCATTGATCAGCCTCTCCCATCCTGATTGAGGACTGAGAAGCTGACCAACCTCTCCATGGCCCTCGCCAATGGTGGTGTGGCTGGCCTGCAAACTGACCTCAGTCCCTTGCCCAGGCATGCCCCATCCCCCAGTGGGGACCCCCACCCTCATTGAGGGCTTGGCTGGCCTGAAAACTACCCATGGCCCCTCACCCAGCCTGGCCCCACCCCCCTGTAGAAACGCCCTGTAAAACCCCCCACACCAATAGGGTACATGGCTGATCTGAAAACTGCCCACAGCCCCTTACCCTGGCCAGCCCCACCCCCCTAGCGGGGGCCCCCCACCCTGATCCGGGGCCCCCATCAGGGCAGGCCAGCTAGCCCCCACTCATGAACCAGGCCTCTATCCTATATAATAAAAGGGAAATATGCAAATTGGCCCTAAAGGCAGAACAATCACAACTGCTAGACCAGTCACTATGAGGTGCACTGACCACCTCTCAGTTTCTTTCCTCTGCTAGCAGGCACTGATTGACTGATGATGAATAAGGAACTGGGGGTAGATGGCAGGGGATGTGGTTGGTGCCTGGCCAAGGCTCCTGCCCCACTGGTTACCCTCCATAAAGTGGGCAACCTATGGCAGGGGCAGGGATGGTGAGCGGGCAGTAATAGCCGACCTCTCAGCTCCTTTCTCTGGCTGTCAGGCACTGATCACCCTATGGTGAAAGGGGAAGCAGGCATGGGTGGTGATGAAGGGTAAGCAGCTGGGGAGGATGGCCCTGATTGCAGGCCAAGCCTAGAGACTGTATCCATGCATGAAATTCATGCACCAGCTTCTAGTTTACATATAGAGGCCTGGTGCACAAAATTCATATAGGGGGGGGGGGGGGGGGCGGTATGTGCCTCCATCCTCTTCAAACTGGGATCCCTCTCACAATCCAGTATTGCTGGCTCCCAACCATTGCCTGCCCCAAAACCACTTCTGACTTCCAGTCTGATCACCCCCTAACCACTCCCCTGCCAGCCTGATCAATGCTTAACTGCTCCCCTGCTAGCCTGACTGCCGCTAATGGCCCTCCCCTGCCAGCCTGGTCAACCCTAATTGTCCTCCCTTGGAGGCCTAGTCACCCCCAACTTCTATCCCCTACTGACCTGGTCACCCTCAACTGCTCTCCATTGCAGGCATGGTCACCCCCAACTGCTCTCCCCTGCTGACCTGATCACACCTAACTGCTCTCCCCTGCTGACCTGGTCCCTTCCTACTTCCCTGATTGCCCACAACTGCCCTCCCTACTTCCTGATAGCCCAAAACTGCCCCTTCAGGCTCAATTGCCTCTATCTGCCTTCCCCTGCCAGCCTGGTTGCCCCTAACTGCTCTGCCCTGCTCGCCTGGTCCCCCTGCAAATGCCCTCCCCTGAAGGCCTAGCTGCCCCCAACTGTCGTCCCCTGCAGGCCTCATCACCCCCAAATGCCCTTCTCTGCAGGCCCAGTTATCCCTAACTGCCCAACCTTGCAGGCCTGGTCCCTCCCTCCTGCCCCTCCTGCTGGCCATCTTGTGATGGCCATCTTGTGTGTTGGAGTGATAGTCACTTTGCATATTACCTTTTTATTATATAAGATGATGTCCAAAGGTATATTTCAAAAATATTTATTAAATATATTAGTACTAGTAATATTACTGCTTAAAATTATCTATTAAAAACTGTGATAAAATTCCAAAGCAACTTCAGCAGATAAGTGGTAATGGTTATCAAATTAATTGAAATATATAGTTATTAAAATGAAATAATTTGTGTCAAGTAGTGGTTTCTTAACCCATTGAAATTTCCTCCCTGGTCTAGAGTGAGCTTTCAATAAAGAATAAAAAGTTGCCGAAACCAGTTTGGCTCAGTGGTAGAGCATCGGTCTGTGGACTGAAAGGTGAGGGGGATTCTGGTGAGGGGCATGTACGTTGGTTGTGGGTACATCCCCGGTAGGGGGTGTGCAAGAGGCACCTGGTCGGTGTTTCTCTCTCATCGACGTTTCTAGCTCTCTGTAAAAGATCAATAAAATATATATATATATATATATATATATATATATATATATATATATATATATATTTTTTAAAGAATAAAAAGTTATTGAATTTATAAAAATCTTGCTTAATAACTGAAGGAAATAACAACAAAAAAGTTATGAATTATATGGCAGTGGTTGTATTTTCTTCTTTACCTGAAGAGAAGACTATGGTCATGAATATACTGAATCCAGTGATAGCCAAGATGTCATCCACACTGCTAGCAGCCATTAGTATGGTTGGAATACCTTTCTCAATACCATATCCATCTTCTTGTAATTTTAGCATGGAAGGGACAACAACAGCAGGAGAGACAGCACCTACTACAAAACTGAGAGAAGACTTTGAAAACCAGTTTTAAAAATACACTTTACCAAATAGTTAATTTTATTAAAATTTATAGCAGATATATATATTTAAAAATATATATTTTATTGATATTTTACAGAGAGGAAAAGAGAGGGATAGAAACATCGATGAGGGAGAATCATCGATCAGCTGCCTCTTGCACACCCTCTACTGGGGATGTGCCTGCAACCATGGTACATGCCCTTGACTGGTCCGCAGGCCAACGTTCTATCCACTGAGCCAAACCGGTTTTGGGGTCTTACACAACCCCTGGCAACTACCATGCTACTTTCTATTACCATGATTTTTAACTACTCTAAATATATCACTAAAATAACATATTTTTCCTGGCTTATTTCACTCAGCACAATGTCATCAAGGCTCATCATGTTGTAGAAAATGACAAGATTTCCATGTTTTTGTTTTGTTTACAGCTGAATTATATCCTATTGTATGCATATACCACATTTTCTTTACCTATTCATTTGCCAATGGATATTTGAGCTTTTCCCACTTTTGGCCATTGTGAATACTACTGCAACATCTCTCTGAAAACCTGCTTTCAATTCTCTTAGATATATACTCAGAAATAGAGTTAATAATTTTATGGTGATCCTATTTTTAATTTTTTTGAGGAAACTCTAAACTGGTTTTCAAATTTTATTCCCAATAGTCATGCACAAGGTTCCCAATTTTTGCACATCTTGGTCAACTGTTATTTTTGGTTTATTTGTTGTTTTTAAACATACTTTTATTGATTTTGAGAGAGAGAGGAAGGGAGAGGGATAAAAAGATAAAAACATCAATGAGAAAGTCAATGACTTATGACAGTTTTAGTGTCTCAATGTAGGTCTTTTGGTTTTACTCAAGTGGAACGTATTTGAGCTTCTTAAATTTTGTATGTCCGTTTTCTCTATTGTAAGTTTTTACCCATTATTTCTTCAATAGGATTTATGACCATTTATCTCTCTCTTCTACTCTTAGAACTGCCATATTTTGTAGATTGGTCTATTAAAGGGTATTCTATAAGTCCTTAGAATTTCTTCATTTTCCTTTGTTCTTCTCTTTGCTCCTCTGACTTGATTTCAAATAACCTTGGCATCAAGTTCACTAATTCTTCAGATTAATTCAGTCTGTTATTGATTCCTGTAGTCATTCCAAAACACCCTCAATTTTGTTATTGTATACTATAGTTTAGAATTAATTTTCCTTTTTTATTGTTTCTCTTTCTTTTTGGTAACCTCATTTGATTCATGCCTGATTTTCCTGATATGCTTATTTTTTACATTTTTTTAAATTTAGATAAGTTACTTATATATTTCATAAATACATAAATTTTCTTGAATTTAGCAGACAGTACTCGTATTATTTCTATTTTATGGTGGCAGCAAAAAAATCTAGTGCCGGCCTTGAAAGTGACACGACTTACGTTACAATTAAGTGTTGAGACTTTGAAAGCCATTTTATGTGTGAAATATAATTTAACAAATTCTTGTGAAAATTTTCATGACCTTTTAAACGACAGCAATCTACTAAAAAAATTCACTCAAATGAGAAATATGCCAAAGAATAAAAGAATACTATACATAATAATTATTATTATTATTATTATTTTAAAATCAATCTTCATTGTTCATATTGTTACAAAGGTTCCTCATTTCTTCCCCCCTCCACCAGGTTCCCACCCCACCCTCCGCCCCTTCCCCATCCCCATCCCCCATTGTCCTCATTTATAGGTGCACAGTTTATGTTCAGTCTCTTCCTCCCTCCCTTTCCCCGATAGTAAATCCCTTTTCAGATAGTAAATCTGTTACTTAGCATTTTCTCATATCAATAATACCACCACATGCCCAATGATACATTTCACACAAAAGACATTTCCAAATAGGTCAACCAGCCTCATCCAGGCCCCAACCAAGGCACTCACAGATCAACACCCCAGCCCTATACTAATTCAACACATCCAGATCTAAGCCTTTATCACTTGATTCAGCAGACCCTCAAGTTCCCGCAAAAGTTTCCAGCCATGTCTGAGAGGCCGCCGTGGGGCAGGGGCAGGGGCAGGTGAGAAGTGAGCTGTTTCAGGCCTGGCTGCTTCGGGCCTGGCCTCTGTTGCTCTGGTTCGTTCCACAACCAGCTGCTCCGGGTCTGGTCACTGCCGCTCCCGACCTAGTTGCTCTGGACCTGGCTGCTGCTGCTCCGGGCCTGGCCGCACCCAACCTGGCTGCTCTGGGCCCAGCTGCTCCGGGCCTGGCCGCTCCCAGCCTGGCAACCGCTGCTCCTGGCCTGGCCGCACCAGACCCAGCTGCTCTGGGCCTGGCCGCTCCCAGCCTGGCAGCCGCTGCTCCGGGCCTGACTGCTCCCAGCCTGGCAACCGCTGCTCCGGGCCTGGCAGCCGCTGCTCCGGGCCTGGCCGCACTAGACCCGGCTGCTCTGGGCCTGGCTGCTCCCAGCCTGGAAGCTGCTGCTCCGGGCCTGGCTGCACCAGACCCGGCTGCTCTGGGCCTGGCCGCTCCCAGCCTGGCAGCCGCTGCTCTGGGCCTGGCCGCTCCCAGTCTGGCAACCGCTGCTCCGGGCCTGGCCGCTCCCAGCCTGGCAGCTGCTGCTCTGGGCCTGGCCGCACCAGACCCGGCTGCTCCGGGTCTGGCCGCTCCCAGCCTGGCAACCGCTGCTCCGGGCCAGGCCGCACCATACCCGGCTGCTCTGGGCCCGGCTGCCCCGGGCCAGGCCGCTCCGAGTCTGGCCGCTCCCAGCCTGGATGCTCCGGGCTTGGCTACTGCTGTTCTGGACCTGGCTGCTCCCAACCCGGCTGCTCTGGGCCCGGCTTCTCCAGGTCCGGCCACTCCGGGTCTGGGTATTCCTGGACTGGCCACCCTGGGCTTGGCTGCCTCCGCCTCAGGTCTGGCTGCTCCAGTGCTGGCTGTTGTTGCTCTGGTTCTGGCTGCTGCTGCTCTGGGGCCTGGCCGTTGCTGCTCCGGGCCCGGTTGCCATTGCTTTGTGCCTGGGCACTCTAGGCCTGGCCGCCGCTGTTCCAACATTCTGTCCTTTTTTTTTTTTTAAACGCATTTATGTTGTAATGTTGGCTGGTGAGTTGAGTTCTGACTTAGTCTTTGATTTTTCAAGATCTTCTTTGTATTCTTTCTTAAGTAATTTTACTATCTTTTGCTCTCACTTGATTTCTTCACATTGAGAACTTTGGTTTCTTCCTCCTTGTCCTGGGAGCTCAGCAGGTTGGCCTGTGGCACCCCTTTGTTCTCCGCGGGCTCCCGCGCTGCTCCAGCCTGTTGCCGGGGTCGGCGCTGCCCAGGAAGCAGCCCTCGGCCTTGGCTCCGTTGCCCGCGCTCAGAGGTCGATGGCTCGGGGGCACCCCCCCCCCCTGGGAGCCCCGTCGCCCGGCTTCCTGCCGGCGCCCGGCTGGCTGGTGTCCTGGCTGGTGTCTGGCAGGGGCTCCTGCTCCCTGTCGTATTCCTCCAGTCTGGAGCTTTTTTTTTTTTCTCCTTCCCGCTAGGGGAGTCTAGGATCAGAGTCAACATTCAGTCCTCTGCGTGCAAAGTGTGCGCAACTCCAGGGGCCCTGCTTTTTGCCACTCCCCTGGGATTCCGCCTCACAGCCCCGTCTCCCCCCGCCGGAGCCTGGGTCCCCAGGGTCTGACTCATAACTGGGGGTCAGCACTACTGGTTCGGGGGTTTAGCCCTGGCTGGGGGTTTTATTTTCTTCCTGCTAGGGAACGCCAGGCAGCACCCAGCCCTCTCCTCCTCTCTGGCTGCGACCTCTCCGCGCGAGCGTGCGTGCAGCATGTCTCCGTACCTTAGGCTTTTTTCAGCTCCTCTGATTTTCCTTCTGGTTTTCTCTTTCCTTCTTGTTGTAGAATTTTCAGTCAGTCGATTACCTGTAGCTCTGGGTGATGTCCACTCTACATTTTAGTTGTATTCCATTGAAATTGTTGTGTGCTGCTGCGGTTAGGTGTCTATCAGAGCAGCCATCTTGGATCCTCTCTCTATTTTTTACATTTTTGAATTTGTTTTTTTATTGTTAAAAGTATGACTTATGTCCCCTTCTCCCCCATTGACCCCCTCCAAACCTTCCCAGGACCCCTCCTCCCACAACTTTCACACTATTGTCTCTGTCCAAGGGTTATGCACCTATGTTCTTTGGTTAATCTTTTACTGCCCTCTCTTCCCTCTAAGATTCATTTAAAAAAAAAAAAAAAAGAAGAAGAAGAAGAAGAAGAAGAAAAGTGGATTCTATACTTCCATGTCTCTGGATCTATTTTTTTTTTGTCACTTTTTAAATTAGATTCCACACATAAAGTGAGATCATGAGATACTTGTCTTCCTCTGATTGGCTTATTTTGCTTAGCATAATTCTCTTCATGTCCCTCTATGTTGTCTTAAAGGATAAGAGATCCTTCATTTTTGTAGCTACGTAGTATTCCATTGTGTAAATGTACCACCTCTTTTTTATTCACTCATCTACTGATGGGCACTAGGGATGTTTCAAGATCTTAGCTATTGTAACTAACCCTGCTATAAACATAGGGGTGCATACTACATCTTTTCTGATCCGTGTTTTGGGATTCTCAGGATATATTCCTAGATTTGGGAATCACTGGGTCAAATGGCAGTTCCATTTTTAATTTTTTGAGAAAAGCTGCAACAGTCTGCATTCCCACCAGCATTTGTAGCCATTACGGCAGATGTGAAAGGAGACCTCATTGTTTTAATTTGCATCTCTCAGATGATTAGCGACTTTGAGCATTTTTTCCTATCTCTTGGCCACATGTATGTCCCATTTAGAGAAGTATATAGTTAGGTCCTTGACCCATTTTTTAAATTGTGTTGTCTTTTTTTTCTTAAGTTGTATGAGCTTTTTATGTATTTTGGAAATTAACCCCTTATCTGATGTATCACTGGCAAAATGTTCTCCCATACAATGGGATCCCTTTGCATTTTGTTATTGGTTTCTTTTGCTGTGCAGAAGCTT